CCCTTTTACAAACTCGCTTATATATACCCTCCTATTAGCACCTACCATTGGTATGTCTGCATACCAAATTTCAAGCTCATGTGGCTTATGGTTCCGTAGATATAGGTGATAAAAAATTCCACGCCTATGGGATGTGCCACGCCCCCTTTTACAAACTCGCTTATATATACCCTCGTATTAGCACCTACCATTGGTATGTCTGCATACCAAATTTCAAGTTCGTGTGACTTGTGGTTCCGAAGTTATAGCTGATAAAAAATTCCACGCCTATGGGATGCGCCACGCCCCCTTTTACAAACTCGATTATATATACCCGCTTATAAGCATCTACCATTGACATGTCTGCATACCAAGTTTCGAGTTCATGTGACTTGTTTTCTGGAAGTTATGGCTGATTAAAAATTTCACGCCTATGGGAGGTGCCACGCCTCCTTGTCGGATCCCAATTTTTTTCACCCTAATTTAGGCCCAGTTATAATGGCAATACTCTGTCAAAATTTTGTTCGATTCTGTCCGTCCGTTTAGACTGCAATCTGGCACATACATACATATATACTTTCACAAATATATAGTAGATTTTTATTTATATAATAAAAAGAGCTCTTATAAAGATTTTATTTTGTTGCTTTTAATAGCAGTTGTTGTATTTAACTGGAGCTTCCGATTTGTGTTAATCAGACATTGAACAACGGGCCCTAAGGGCCAATTTCAAATGAATATTCAGACGGCACTTAAGTTTAATTGTGGATTGCTGTTTAAATTCCTTTAGCTTTCGTTGGGTTTCAGATCAACTGTATTTAAATATGCCACTCAATTGGCAGGACTGCTGCTTGTTCCTTGAAATTGTTGTTTCATTTGCTTGTTTGTTTACATTTTGTGCTGAACAGCTGATTGTTTTTTGGTGGGATTGATTAAACAACTTACCAATCAATCTTGGTTGTTTGGTACAAACCCAGGGTTGTATATCTAATATTCAAATAGTCAATATTGGCGATTTAAGTTCAGATTAAATGTATGATCTGAAAATGAATAGTGAAAATTAATCAACAATCTCTACTTAAGTAGGCCATCTGGAATTGGGCCTAAGCCTTTGGACCACTTCGGTATGTTAATTATAGACAATTATTCTCCGTTTACCTTTACCATCCCATGGCACACGACTATGCAGCATTATCCACATCTCCTTAACAGTATTCAGAAGAAACACATCGTACACAGAGCTACCAACTTGGCTCAAACCGTACCATTTTTGGCCGTATTTTACTTCAAATGGCACTTAATTTTTCAAATTTGGCACTTTTGAAAAATAATAATATTTCAATTCATTTTTGTGAAATCTTTGCGTGTGCTTCTTTTTGCCAACTAAAATTTTCTAATTTCTATAGTGTATACAACTGGTTTATCTTACTTTGCACTGGACTTTTGTTTTAGGAATGTGTTTGGAATTTTAATGTTAAATGAGAAGAACTAAAAAGAATTACAGCTTTTTTGGCACTTTTATTTTTCTATTTGGCACATTTTGGCACTGTTTTATCCTCATAGCTAAGTATAGTTGGCAACCCTGATCGTACTAACTGAAATTTTTTCGCCTGCGCGATAGTAGAAGTACCTATGTATGTACACTTTTAAGATGCATACATATGAGTTATGCGGGGCTTTTATTGTATCTCTGTATTTCCATAACTCCCTGTGTGAGGAAACCAAATAATGTAATTTCAATTTTTGGGTTGAGTTGTTTACTTTTTTTCGATAAGACCAGCCCAGCTTCATTTAAGTTATTGCCGCTCTGCATATCCTTATCCGATTCAACTAGAAACTTTGTTGTTGTAGTGTCAGTACTAAGTTTTTTATCAATATTTATTTCGTGTTCGATATCATTTGATGCAGATGTTTCATCATCATCCATAAAATGTTCATTCCATTCTGGTGATACTTTTATATCCTCGACGTGATCCTTGTAAACAAATAGAAAATAATTATTGTTTAATTATATCTAAATCGTATTTGATATACCATATCTACAGTATCTGGCATCTTAGTTACTTCCATTAGCTCTTCATGTACTGGAACCCATTCAAAAGTGTTGGCTATACTTTCTATCTTCACTTTTTCCGTTTGTGTGCAACGTAATTCATTATCAGCCCTTCTCGCCTTTTCAATAAAATCATAAACGTCTTTAAGTTTTTGGGCACAATCAAGGCATAGATATTGCATCCGGGCATCATCGAGTTCATTTGGATCATCTTTCAAACTTAAATTAATTTGTGTACATTTACAAACACTCTTTGAATGATATATCCAAAGAGTCAACAGGCTGATACCAATCTAGCAGATGCACCCGATCTTCCGGCGACAAACAGGCACGGCATATATTTGATAAATCCATCTGAACTTTTCACCACTGCCGTATTGATAATTCAAGTCTTAGTCGGTAAAAAATAGTTTTGTAGAATGTGTGATTATATATTGGTAAGACAGAACAATTTGAAAATAGGGATGTCGAAAATATTTCGATATAAAAAATGGTACAATTTTAATGCTTTTAAAAGTCGACTGTCCGACAAATAGATTTCTTCGGTAGATATAGTGATGTTCCGATATCAGTGAAAACTATCTCCTGAAATTGAATCAAAATAAATTAAAATGTACTTTAATAAATTTAAGGAAAAATATTGTTATAAACTTACAAACTGGTCATAGGCAAAAGATTGTTTCTTTTGTTTACTTTTTACCGCTCTTCTTCTGCCATTGTTTACTATTCACGGTGCATTACCAAACGTCAAAATTACTGGCCTACTACTATTTCAAGCAGAAGAAAGAACACGAACATTTTCTTGTGCATTTTCTTAAGAGCTGGATACTAAAGCCCTGTATGCAGCTCTCAAGAAAACGGTCAAGAAAAAATTGCCATTAGTTCACGTGTGTGTCCAAGGAATTTTGACATTTTTGATACT